CGATCGCGCCGCGCCCGAAGTTCCATCCCGGGAGACCGAGCCCCGGAGGGAGCGCAGAGCCAGGTCCCTCGGCGCCCTCGCCCGCCCGCGGCACGGCCGGCCCTCGAGCCGAAAGAGGGGCAGAGAGATAGCAGAGGGGGCAGAGCGGAAGGCACGGTCGGGAAGAGGGGATGTGGGCGCGAGCGCGGGGAGCCGGCAGCCGGGCAGAGGGAGAGGCGGAGAGAGGGAGCGGGAGCGAAATATCAAAGCCTGTGCGAGATCAGGCTGGAAAGATAATCGATACTCGACCTAAATTTAACACAAACTACTCAATAAAAGTTAAAGAAAAAACTTACTTTCCATTTGCCCTGCAGTTCCTACGCGATCTTCGCCTTTTTTGTTTTGCTTTTATTTTACTTACAGCTGATCACATCCAAGTAAAACGAGAGGGTTCATTAAAAAATAAAAAAAAATAAAAAAATAATCCTCGAACTTTATTGGGTGAAAATAAAAACGCCGGAGCAGAAAGCGGGGGGCATGGAGCGGTCCTCGGGGGTCCGGGAGGAGTTAAAGCATGTGCCGACCGCGGCCTCGCTGTTTGGCTGGGAAGGGGTTGGGAGAGGAGGAAAGGAAATGAAAATCCGATATGTCTTTATTCTGCTAATTATTATCGTTTTAGCCCTGTTTAAAAAAATGGCTGATTAAGTTGAGTGCGCATGTCTTTGTGTGTCTATTCCCGATATGCACTCTGGGAATGAGAGAGGAGAGCGAGGGAGAGGGAAGGGAGGGGGAGAGGTGTAATTAGTGAGGTGATCAACATTCCCCAGACTGCAAATGACGCGCAGCCGGGACTCGAGCAGCCCGGGAGCCTCGCGACTTCCAAGGCTCGGAGCGGCGCTGCGGCTGGAGCCCGGGACGCGGCGGCCGCGGAGAACGGCGGGTGGGGAGCCCCGGGGCTCGCACCCCGCGCTCCCCTGCGCTCGGCTCCCAAACTTCACTAAACACAGGCGCTCGGCACACAGAGGAGGGATATAAAACACAAACGCTGTCGCAGCAGCGGCCTTTAACCGTTCGAGATTTTTTTTTTTTTAATTTTAATGAGGTAAAGTAATTACTATCGGACCACAGATTTGTTTACTAGGGAGCTTTAAGCAGAAATACGAGTTAGGGTAATGAGGAGCTCTCCTCTGCCTAGTTGACTGGACTGCGAACTTGCACGCACTTTAGTGGCAAAATGTGGGGCCTGAGCAAATATGCAGATGTATGTAAATAGACGGTGCCTGGCTACGGGCACAGCCAGCTCAGCCCAGCCGTGTCCGCAGGAGGAACTGCGCTCTGCATCCTCAGGCATTCCACTGAAACTCGGACCTTTCTCTTACGCAGGAGAGACAAACCCAGGGCAAGAGAGATGGAAATGCTCAGTTTAGTCAGAGTAAACTTCCAAATGAGAGAGTAAGTAATGACTGCAAGGATGATACCGGGGGTACAGTGCTAGCCTTTATGTAATATTCCTGAATATTTTATCAGAATTGCATAAGTTCAGTGTAATAGCTTTAAGAAGACTTAGGGAAAAAAACCCTTTCATCTTCTGAGTCTGTTGAGTTATCTTTCTGGAACCACATTATGATGAATTTTAAAACCCCACTACAGATCTCATTAGAATGAAATATACTTGGTATTTTCTGGTGCAAAATTTAAGGTGGCTGATTCTCATTTGAAAATCTAATTATCTCTTGCCAGTATTACAGATGTGAATATGAGTGACACTTTCATTAAAAGATAATTAAGTAAAACTTGGAATAGACATACTTTTAAATACCCCCTACTTAATATGGAATATATATATATATATATATGTGCGTGTGCATGTGTGTGTGCATTGCTATTCAGATAGCATCTTGATACACTGCTACACCAGCGGTCACAAGTAGACACCATTTATGTAATATTTCACAAACAGGACTTCTGGAGAGGAGGCAAGAGTAACAAATCAAATGAGCTAAAAACAGGAAATACTAGCAATGTCCAGCTTCCTGGACAGGTGGGGCGAGAGCCTCTCTGGGCTGACAGGCCTTTGAAGTTCTGGATTGCAGGATCTGCTTCAGAACCTTGTCTTAGGCCTTCAGCGTCAAACCTACCAAATGCCAACAGAAAGGTTTCCACGCAAGCACTTGAGACGACAGGGGCTGCGAACATGCATCTTTCTGGGCCGAAAACCTTGTGTTAGCAGGGGATATTTGGAAGATCCTAGGATTGATGCAGAGGGAATTAAGAACCCTACCAAACACCTGAGAGGAGAACAGCGTAGTGCTCAAACGAGCAGAACTAGGCCCAGATCAGGACAGCTTGTTGCCTTCAGCAACTGGCTAAGGTTACAGTGAAAGTCCAGCGGCTTACAGCAGAGAATAAAACCTAGATACGTCTCTATTAGGAGAGAAAAGCACATCCCCACCTTAGGAATCTGCAGTCAGGATGCGTAGTAGTGTTCTAGAAACCAGGGCCACTAAGAAAATTATCTACC